CATCTGGGAAATGTTTCTTCGGCTTGCAAAAAGAACAACACCCTTGTTGCACTAGCAAAGTTGTAGCAGTAAAGTAAGTTGTCCAGTTCTAAATGCCTGTTTTTGGCATCCACTGGGACACTTGCTGCCCATAAAAATAAGATGAGAAACCAACATGCTGCACAGCTGTTATGTGTACGTGTGTCTTCCAAGTCCTCTAAAATACAGCCCATTGCCCCTGAACATATATATATCAGGCCTCTGAACATATATATCAGACCTTGGCAAACTTTTGCCCTCTGAACATATATACAAGGTTTTTCCTTGTGACATTTTAATGATTCAATAAAACAGATGTGGGCAAAATACAGGCCTGGGCTCACATGCGTCTCCACCCAAAACTCTGTTTTTCAAGTGCCCAACCCACCAATCCTATTTTCTGGCCCAAATACAGTTAAAGTTAATTGCATTTCTTAGATGCCTCCAGAAGTTGAATTCCACTGTTGAATAACACCTCTTCCCTCACCGCTAAATTAGCCAAGATAATCATTTTTCACAATCAAAATTGCTCAGATTTATTCGGTTGTCCCCACAATTTGATTTCCCCCCAAAGTGCTTGGGGGAAATAAATGACGGGAGATAACACAGCAACAGGCACATTGAGGCCCCTTGTACGGGCCCTTCCACACAGCCATATAACCCAGAAAATCAAGGAAGAAAACCCCATAATATCTACTTTGAACTGGGTTATCCGAGTATTTCAGTTTCAAGCAGAAAATGTGGGATGTTATTCAGCTGAGTAAAAGGGACCTACACTGCCATACAAAATCCAAGGTATCTGTAGTTTTGCAAAGACCTTGGCCTGCACTTAAACACGATCGGCATTGACAAAATTACCATCTGCCAGCTGCAGAAGGCCACCTTACTAGGATCTGCACGCATTATTCGCCGATACATCACACAGTCCTAGACACTTGGGAAGGGTCTGAAGTGTGATCCAGTACAACAGCCAACAGAGTGATCTTGTGGGATTTTCTGCCTTTACATTCTGGGTTATCTGGCTGTGTGGAAGGGCCCTGAGTGTATACATTTTGGAGTGTTTGTAACTTCAATTCAGCCATCATTATAACAGTGATCCTTCAATATAAACACATAGGCTGCAGATGGAGAGGTCCCTTCATTCTTCTCCTCCAACCTTCCCTCCCCAATGAAGCAGCTGCCTCAAATTCCTGGAAGTCTTGTGACTCCCATCAGGAATCCTGAGAGGAAGGCAGGAAGAAAAGTCCGTGTAGATCAGTGTTTCTTGACCTTCCTAATGCTGCGACCCCTTAATGCAGTTCCTGATGTTGTGGTGACCCCCAACCATAACATTATTTTAGTTGCTACTTCATAACTGTCATTTTGCTACTGTTATGAATCGTAATGTAAATATCTGATATGCAGGATGTATTTTCATTCGCTGGACCAAATTTGGCACAAATACTCAATGTGCCCAAAAGTGAACACTGGTGGAGTTTGGGGAAAATAGACCTTGACATCTGGGAGTTGTAGTTACTGGGATTTATAGTTCACCAGAGCATTCTGAACTCCACCAACAATGGAATCGAGCCAACTTGGCACACAAAACTCCCATGACCAACAGAAAATACTGGAAGGGTTTGGTGGGCATTGACACGAGTTTTGGAGTTGTAGTTCACCTACATCCAGAGAGCACTGTGGACTCAAACAATGATAGATCTGGACCAACTTGGCACGAACAATATGCCCAGATGAGAACACTGGTGGAGTTTGGGAAAAATAGATCTTGACATTTGGGAGTTGTAGTCACTTGGATTTATAGTTTCGGCGGTTTCCAGAGGAGCATTTGCACAGCTTCGGCTCGTGCGCCAGCTGCGCCCGTATCTTGGGAGGTCGGACTTGGCTACGGTAGTCCACGCTCTTGTCACATCCCGTATAGACTACTGCAACGCGCTCTACGTGGGGTTGCCCTTGAAGACTGCCCGGAAGCTTCAGATGGTCCAGCGCTCGGCAGCCAGGTTGCTAACGGGAGCGGCTCTCAGGGAGCACACCACCCCCCTGCTGAACCAGCTCCACTGGCTGCCAATTCGCTACCGGGCACAATTTAAGGTGCTGGCTTTAGCCTATAAAGCCCTACACGGTTCCGGCCCCACTTACCTCTCCGAACGCATCTCCTCCTACGAACCGGGAAGAGCGTTAAGATCTTCCGGGGAGGCCCTGCTCTCGGTTCCGCCGGCGTCACAAGTGCGGCTGGCGGGCACGAGAGACAGGGCCTTCTCGGTGGTGGCCCCTCGGCTATGGAATGCGTTACCGGTGGACATCAGGCAGGCCCCTTCGTTACTGGTGTTTCGGAGGAGGGTGAAGACGTGGCTCTACGAGCAGGCTTTCGGATAACCATGTAGTAACAACTAACTCAATAATGACGGCATCGGACAAGGAATGGAAAAAGGATCTTGAGATCGGAATCTGATTCTAAGTGTGGCGTTGATGATTATGTGTTTGTCTGTATTGTGTGTCTCATACATTGTTTAGTGTTGCTTTTTATTGTAAACCGCATTGAGTCGCCGCCTCAGGCTGATATATGCGGTATACAAATAGAGTAAATAAATAAATAATAAATAAATAGTTCACCTACAATCAAAGAGCATTCTGAAGTCCACCAATGATAGCATTGGGCCAGACTTCCCACATGGGACCCCCATGACCAACAGCCCTAGGGCTGAGAACGGCGGTCAACAAATGCGGTCAACAAATGCAGAAAATACTGTGTTTTCTGATGGTCTTTGGCGACCCCTTTGACACCCCCTCGTGACCCCCCCAGGGGTCCCAACCCCCAGGTTGAGAAACACTGATCTAATCATCTACATTCCAAAACTGTTTCCTTCTCTGTCAGTTTCACACTGACCAAGGTGGTCAGTGTAGATGTGACACCAGGGTAGATTCACTGGCCCATTAATATGGAAGGCACTAGTAAGTGGTGTCAAACTGCATTCATTCTACAGTGTAGACCAGGCATGGGCCAACTTGGTCCCTCCAGGTGCTTTGGACTTCAACTCTTACAATTCTATGGAACCCCCAGGAGAGGTAGTTTTGCAAGGTATCTGTAGTTTTGTGAGGTGGTTTTGCAAGGTAGTAGGACACCCAAGGATGCATCTACACCAGGCTGTTAGGAATTGTGGGAGTTGGGAGTCCAAAACAACTGGAAGGCCCAAGTTGGCCCGTGCCTGGTGTAGATGCACCCTTGGGTGTCCTACTGCCTTGCAAAACTACAGATACCTTGCAAAACTACCTTTCCTGGGCTTCCATCGAACTGAGCCCTGGCAATTAATGCGGTGTCAAACTGCATTCGTTCAAGTGTAGACCAGGCATGGGGCAACATGGGCCCTCCAGGTGTTTTGGACTTCAACTCCCACAATTCTATGGAAGCCCAGGAAAGGTAGTTTTGCGAGGTATCTGTAGTTTTGTGAGGTGGTTTTGCAAGGCAGTAGGATGCATCTACACCAGGCTGTTAGGAATTGTGGGAGTTGGGAGTGCAAAACACCTGAAAGGCCCATGCCTGGTGTAGATGTATCCTTGGGTGTCCTACTGCCTTGCAAAACTACCTTGCAAAACTACAGATACATTGCAAAGATATCTGTATGTATCTATAGTTTTGCAAGGTAGTTTTGCAAGGCAGTAGGACATCCAAACGTGTATCTACACCAGGCTGTTAGGAATTATAGGAGCTGGAGTCCAAAACACCTGGAGGGCCCAAGCTGGCCCATGCATGGTGTAGATGCACCCTTGAGTGTCCTACTACCTTGCAAAACTACAGATATACTGCAAATGTATTCGTATGTATCTGTAGTTTTGCAAGGCAGTAGGACACCCAAAGGTGTATCTACACCAGGCTGTTAGGAATTGTGGGAGTTGGGAGTCCAAAACACCTTGAAGGCCCAAGTTGGTCCATGCATGGTGTAGATGCACCCTTGGGTGTCCTACTGCTTTGCAAAACTACCTTGCAAAACTACATTTCCTGGGCTTCCATAGAATTGTGGGAGTTGGAAGTCCAAAACACCTGGAGGGCCCAAGTTGCCCCATGCCTGGTCTACACTAGAACGAATGCAGTTTGCCACTGCATTAATTGCCAGGGCTAAGTTCAGGAAAGATAGTTTTGCAAGGTATCAGTAGTTTTGCAAGGCAATAGGATGCCCAAGGGTACATCTAAACCAGGCATAGACCAACTTGGGCCCTCCAGATGTTTTGGACCCCCCAACTTCCACACTTCCGAATAGCCTGATGTAGATGCACTTTTGGGTGTCCTGTTGTTGTTGTTGTTCATTCGTTCAGTCGTTTCCGACTCTTTGTGACCTCACGGACCTGCCCATGCCAGAGCTCCCTGTGGGCCGTCGCCACCCAGAGCTCCTTAGGGTCAGTCCAGTCACTTCAAGGATGCCATCCATCCTTGAAGATGCACTTTTTGGGTGTCCTACTGCCTTGCAAAACCACCTTGCAAAACTACAAATACCTGGCAAAACTACATTTCCTGGGCTTCCATAGAATTGTGGGAGTTGGAAGTCCAAAACACCTGGAGGGCACAAGTTGCCCCATGTCTGGTCTACACTAGAAGCATTTCTCAATGCTGTGCGGTCTTGGGAATTGTGTTGGCTACCTTGCAAAACTACCTTTCCTGGGCTTCCATAAAACTGTACCCTGGAAATTAATGCGGTTTTAAACTGCATCAATTCTCCAGTGGAGATGCACCCCATAGGAAGTTGAAGCGCCACGTTTCATGCCAAGGAGGAGGAGGAGAAAAGAAGGAAAGCAGAAGTGGTGGTGGTGGAAATAATGCAGATTAAGTTGAGAATCCCCTTCATGCTCTGGATTCCTGGGATTTCTAGGCTGCAGAGAAGGCGACACATATGTATCTAAGCTTTGTGGTAGAGAAAGGAGTGCCCACCAAGTCTACAGTGGAGAGCGGAAAAGGGGATACAATTTGGGAAGGGAAAGGGGGCTTTCCTTACCGGGCTTCTTGCCCCTCCATTCGGCCCACAGCAAGGTCAAGTCAGCATCTGCTCGGATCCAGCGCTTGACCAGGAGGGCCATGATGACCAAGGCGAGGAACCCGAGTGCCAGGGAGAAGAGGCAGGCCATGGCAAAACCTAGGCGAGCCCGGCGGAGGCTTTTCTTTCTTCCCCTTCGCTTGGCAAAGTGGGGCGGACTTGGCCCCACCTCGTCGGAGGGAGGGAGGGAGGCGGTGGGGTGGAGCCTGGGACCCCCTCCCCTTGCCTTCCCCAGCCTTTCCTCCCCTCCCTCTTGGCCTCCGCCTCTGCCTCCAAAGCTCCCCCCTCTCTCTCTGCAGAGGAATCCCAGCCACCCGACCTGCCTTGTCTCAGGGCTATGGAATTCTAGGAGTTGCCCTTTGGTGAAGCCCCACCAGCACTCTTTAGCAGAGAAGGCGAAGAAGACCTTGCCAAACTGCAACTCACACAATTCCAATGCACAGAGCCATTTTTCGGGCATGGGCAAACTTGGGTCCTCTCTCCAGATGTTTTGGACTTCAGCTCCCAAGTTTGCCCATGCCTCCTCCAGAAGCTGGACTACAACCCCTGTATGCTATTGAGTTCTAAGAGTTGTCCTTTGGTGAAGCCCCACCAGCACTCTTTAGCAGAGAGGGCTAAGAAGGCCTTGACAAACTGGAACTCGCACAATTCCAATGCACAGAGACATTTTTCGGGCATGGGCAAACTTGGGCCCTCCCTCAAGGTGTTTTGAACTTCAACTCCCAAGTTTGCCCATGCCCAAATTTTTTGGGCATGGGCAAACTTGGGTTCTAAGAGTTGTCCTTTGGTGAAGGCCCACCAGCACTCTTTAGCAGAGAAGGCTAAGAAGGCCTTGACAAACTGCAACTCCCATAATTCCTATTTACAGAGCCATTTTTTGGGCATGGGCAAACTTGGGCCCTCTCTCCAGGAGTTTTGGACTTCAGCTCCCAACATTGCCCATACTTGCTCCAGATGCTGGACTACAATGCTATTGGGTTCTAAGAGTTGTCCTTTGTTGAAGAACCACCAGCACTCTTTAGCAGAGAAAGTTATGAAGGCCTTGACAAACCATCTCACATAATTCTATGTATTGTCGAAGGCTTTCATGGCTGGAATCACAGGGTTGTTGTAGGTTTTTCGGGTTATATGGCCATGTTCTAGAGGCATTCTCTCCTGATATTCCACCTGGATCTATGGCAAGCATCTTCAGAGGTTGTGAGACCTCCCTGTTACCTTGTCATAGATGCAGGTGAAATGTCAAGAGAGAACGCCTCTAGAACAGTGGTTCTCAACCTGGGGTCCCTAGATGTTTTTGGCCTTCAACTCCGAGAAATCCTAACAGCTGGTAAACTGGATGGAACTTTAGGAACAGTTAAAACACAAGATTTTGCTTTGGAACACCGTAATCTATTTAGAAATTGATTCTGTATTAAGAGTCTAAAACTACAGGTAGACCCCAAGTTAATTAACAAGATAGGTTCTGTAGGTTTGTTCTTAAGCTGATTTTGTATGTATGTTGGAACAGGTACATTTTTAAGTGTAACTCCAGCCACACATGCACACAAAGGTTGCAGGTTCGAATCCAGGAAGCAGCATAAGTTCCTGCTGTTAGCCCCAGCTTCTGCCAACCTAGCAGTTTGAAAACATGCAAATGTGTGTAGATCAATAGATACCGCTCTGGTGGGAAGGTAACAGCACTTCATGCAGTCATGCCAGCCACATGACCTTGGAGGTGTCTACAGACAACGCCAGCTCTTAGGCTTAGAAATGGAAATGAGCACCAACCCCAGAGTCGGACACGACTGGACTTAATGCCAGGGGAAAACCTTTACCATACACACACACACACACATATATATATCAGTGATTCCCAACATTTTTTTGACCAGGGATCACTTTGACCAGGGACCACTCTCCAACATTAGTACCAAAAGGGTTACTAATCAGCTTTTGGTCAACTCTGGTTATTTGAGGTGCTGATTCAGAAAATTGCATTGGATAGACCACATCAGCTCTAGTTTCTGATAAAGAACATATACCATCCAGTAGTCGCCATCTGCTTGCCCACAGAAAACCATATTTAAAAATCTAGAGCTGATGTGGTAGTAGTAATCCTTCGTGGGTAGGATAATCCCCTCCCGACCTCCCCATTGCCTTGGCAATATAACAGAATTTTGTGAGACCAGTAGCGCTCGTTGCCATGTAGTTTCGAGGCGACGGTGTAGTAATGGCAAGGTCACGGGCCATATTTTCGTGCTTGCAGACCACTGGTGGTCCATGGACCACAGGTTGAGAACTACTGATAGATAGATAGATAGATAGATAGATAGATAGATAGATACGGTAGATAGATAGATACAGACACGCATGCATGCATGCATGCATGCTTTGGGTAGCACAGGGAAGGGTTAACAGCCCCGTGGTGTCTGCGCCCCTTTTCAGAAGATTTCACCTACTTTCTGTCCATGTCATAATTAGATTTTGAAAAATTTTGGTTTGTTGTGGAAACAAGGAGGTGAGAAAGCCTCAGTGGAGACATCTTTTCCCTAACTCTTTCAGGAGTTAATTTCCCTCTCTTCCTGTTGTCTCACCCCCATTCTTAACTATGAATCAGATGTTTGTAACTTGGGGACTGCCTGTACGAGACCATACCACTGCACTTTCAGTAGAAAAGGTGAATGGTTTCTCCTCCACCCCTTTTCTAGCTATTAGTAATATTTGCCCTGAAAAAGTGTTAATCTTTAACTTCTTAGGGCCAGCTGTTTGTCATTAGTAGATGTTTGGAGGTCAGTCATCCATTACGAAATTAACCATGGTGGAATCTCTGCATGCAATCATATTTAGTTGCAGTTGGCCACTCTTCCCAGTTCAACTGCCCAAAGAACTTTGTAAAATTGTTGTATGGCAACATCCTATACAAGGGGCGTTCATTAAAGATCAACTTCTATTTATCACAGAATGCTGAAACTGCACATATGTCATGATATAAGCCTCTATCGGTTACAACTTACAACTTAAGCCAATTTACAACTTGGAACTGATAACGGAACTGATAAATTGTGTCCAATTCTGGGCACCACAATTCAAGAGAGATATTGACAAGCTGGAATGTGTCCAGAGGAGAGCGACTAAAATGATAAAAGGTCTGGAGAACAAGCCCTATGAGGAGCGGCTTAAGGAGCTGGGCATGTTTAGCCTGAAGAAGGCTGAGAGGGGATATGATAGCCATGTATAAATATGTGAGAGGAAGCCACAGGGAGGAGGGAGCAAGCTTGTTTTCTGCTTCCCTGGAGACTAGGACGCGGAACAATGGCTTCAAACTACAAGAAAGGAGATTCCATCTGAACATGAGGAAGAACTTCCTGACTGTGAGAGCTGTTCAGCAGTGGAACTCTCTGCCCCGGAGTGTGGTAGAGGCTCCTTCTGTGGAAGCTTTTAAACAGAGGCTGGATGGCCATCTGTCAGGGGTGATTTGAATGCAATATTCCTGCTTCTTGGCAGAATGGGGTTGGACTGGATGGCCCATGAGGTCTCTTCCAACTCTTTGATTCTATGATTCTACGGTCTTGATTTTACAGGTGCTGAAGTAGAGTGAGGCTTGATAATGGACCCAGTGGAATACAGAGCAGTCCTCAAGTTCCTTTACTTGAAACACTGCACCCCAATGGAGACATTTGATGAGATGAAAGAGGTTTATGGTGATGATTCCCCATCATATGATGGAGTCAAGAACTGGCATTGTGAATTCAAATGTGGTCGGACTTCGGTGCAAACATCTACAATTCAAGGGCAACCCCAGTCTGCTATTGATGAACACACTATCCCACAAGTGGAGGTTGCCATTTTGGAAAATCGCCATGTAAGCATTCACCACTTAGCCCAAAATGTCAAGATTAGTGTGGGGTCTGTGGACAAAAAAATCATCCAAGACCATCTTCACATGCATACGGTATCCGCTCATTGGGTCCCCCGGCTGCTCAAACCTTTCCAGAAAAAGCAACAAGTTTTTTTTATTTCTTTATTGAATTTTTTTCTGTTTACATAAAATAATGGAGATTTTCAGGGAGGGAGAAACTAGGTAAGGAATGGGGGATAGGAGGGGAGGGCATGGGAAGTAGGTTAGGGTTTGAGGGGGCGGATACGTTTCAGGGTAGAGGGGTTAGGTTAAATTTGTTGACTTCCCATTCCTGGGAGGTTTCATTTTCTTTTATCTCTCCTTCTTAGTATCATCCTCTTCTTGTTCAATTAAATTATTATAATTTTTCCCTCTTAATATTTATATCCAAATTAACATTTTCCCTTTTTCCTAAAATCTGATCAATAAACTCCAATCTGCTGTTCTTTTGATTTGTTTGTGTCTAAGTTGATGTGTCAGATTGTCTATATTTCTGATTTCCAACAATTTAACTAACCATTCTTTTCTAGTTGGGGTTTCTTTCCTCCTCCAATATTGGGCAAAGACTATTCTGGCTGCAGATGTTATGTAGCTAAAAAGGACATCTTTGCTTTTGTCCAGATCAGAATCTATAATCCCTAGTAAGAAGTACTCTGGTTTAATTGGGAACTTATTTTGGAGAATTTCTTGTGCTGCCTTATGTATTTCTTTCCAATACTTACTGGCTCCTTCACAACCCCACCACATATGGCGAAATGTTCCTCTTTGTTTTTCACATCTCCAGCATTTCTCACTAACATCTTTACAGCAAAAAGTTGAATGCACTCAGGCTCTCTTGACAATACACCATGGAGACCAGGAGGACCTTTTCAACAGACTGATCACACAGGATGAAAGCTGGGTCCATCACTCTGATCCTGAGACTCAACTCCAGTCAATGCAATGGAAGCGTCATGACTCATTGCCTCCAAAGAAGGCACGTGCCCAACTCTTGGCAGGCAAGGCCATGCTCGCAGTATTTTGGGACCAGCACAGAGTAGTATGGATGGATTTCCTAGCAAAGGGTACCATGATCACAGGGGCATATTGTGCTTCATTGTGAGAGGCCATCAAAACCAAGAGACGTGGCATGCTCACTAAAGGTGCCTGCCTTCTGCAAGACAATACACAATTTCATACTCACACAAGAAGCAGCTCTTCATTTATTATTATTATTATTATTATTATTATTATTATTATTATTATTATTGCCATCTCCCGCCATGCATTGCTGTGGCCCAGTCTGGTGATCTGGAAAA